GCGTAGTGTTTTATCTTAATCACCACTGCCCGTGTGTTAAAAAAGACAACACTTTAGTTGTGAGGAACAACAAACAGTCTGCTGGCTGAAAAAAGGTGTTAAACACGTTAATTATATTTCTTTCAAGCATACTTGTAAATTGTAGGGTTGCAACAGTATATAAATGTGCTGACTAGTATTCAACAACCAGTGGCACAAAACACATAAACAAACACACACATAAAACAAAAAACAGAGTAATTTTTTATTTACTATGCAAAATGAAAGTGATGGATGCATGTGATTGGCAATCATTCTACCCAATAATGAATGCATAAGCACAAATGTGTTGCGGTTGTTTTTTGTACACCTTCTGTTTTAAGGTGGGACACCACTGGGGAAAATAACAAGGTTTTTCAAAGAAAACTATGGCCGCAAATCTTGGATTCCTAGGATCAGTAAGTGTGTGCAGAAAAGTCAGGGCAAATGTAAAAAAAGTGAGGGAGAAACAGATCATTTGGAGAGGAAAAAACAGGTGGGGGTTGATGGGTAGGGTACAATCTAACGCTTTTCGATGGCATTAACTGAAAAAAGAAAAAAGAAAAAAAAGAAACCTAATGCATGAATCCTCCCTCGGCCCCAGCCACAGATTAATGATCTGGTTTTGCGTGTGAAAGCTATTATATAATTCATTCTCTGTGAGGTTTTCTTCTGTTTCTGGTTTTCCTTTTAATTTAAGGACAATGTATGATACATACTATATTTTATGATTCTTCTTTTTTTTTGGTGGGGTGGGGGGGATCAGTTAGAGATCAGTTAGAGATCAGTTGAAAGTTAATGTTTTCTCAGAGCCTTCACTTTGTTTGAAAAGCTTTCCTATTTCTGTCGAGATAGTGCACAGATATGTGAAATGAGTGCATGTGAGAAGCTGTGCAGCATATGCATGTGTCTCTCTACACGTGCGTGCACGTAGTGCAATATACTCTCACTCTGGTATTGTGAATTCTCTGCTCCCTAAGCTCCTTAATGGAGTCACGACAAGGGCAACGGCATTTTCATTTTTTTGTGTTTATTCTCTCTACCCCCTGTGCTCTGTTTTCTCTCCCTTTCCCAAATCTGGCATATCACAGGTGGGCAGACTGGCATCAGGAAGTTTTTCTTCTTTATTTTGGATGCTGTTATTGATTACCTGCTGTTTAGATGATGGTTACATGTTAACCACACACCGTCACGTTCTGCTAAAGGATTAACTCTGCTGAATACATCTGTGCCACACAAGTCTGGCAAAACCACAGTGCGATTGGTAGATTACCCTTCACATAGCAGAATGTCATCTAATGACTATCTGGCAGTGTCTATGGTGTGGCATTGTAGGACTCCCTCTCAATCCTCTGCCCGGTTCCATCAGTGTCTCCACAAACAAGCATTCATTGAAATGCACGTGGCTGTAATGTCATCCTCAAATTTAGTCCTTATCCTAGAATTTAAGGATTGTAACTTTGCCTAAGTCAAAGTGTTCTGCCTTATCAGTGCGGAATTTTAGAAAATCTATTGACTTGAAATAGAAAATTAAGTCCGGTTCCAAAAATCTTGGTTGCCAATTCAATAAAATAAACCAGTCCTGCAATGTGCAGTGCCAGGACACCATTCTTATGAGAGCCGAATTTTAAAAAGTAAAACAAGTTAAATAAAACATGCTAGTAAATCTGAGAGCACCATTAAGATTGAGTGACAGAGTGCATTAGGGGATTTTTATGGCCTATGAGTCATCCTGGGGTAGTACAGTGAGAGGGTTTGGAGTGTCATCACCCAACAAATCGTTTTCCAGGTACGAATGTGGGCTGAAGCCCTTCTGTATGGAGAAACAGAGAAAATACTTTTAGATTTTTCTCAATGTTATTGATGACATGTTGACAGCCACAGGCCACTCTGATTTAGTCTAGTTTCATTTGTGGAGGGAGTAGGAATACTAAAAACCCTGCCAAGCATCTTGAACTGTATGGGTCTTGACAATAAATATCTACAGCCGATTCAAAAAACAAGACAGCATTTGAAAATAGAGCTTCAGTTCCTCCTGTGAAATATCACTAACATGTGGAAGTGGGGGAAACAATAAGCTAATATATTCTAATTACATTAAACCAGCTATTATCGTGAGGTAACAAGGAACAAAGTGCTTAATCATTCTGACACTATGGTTCCAATAAGTATTTTTCAATGACTAAAGCTGTTAACTTGTATGCAGAATCCTTAAATCTATGATAATGCAGTGATGGCAGGTTTAATTTGGCTTCTGTAATGCATTATGATCCATAGTGCAATCAAAGCAATCAGTTGCAGTCTTATATCAGACATTATTATCAACCTGAATATCGGTGATTAGTGGGAGAGTTACTTGTGAAGAACTGAGCCTGAACTGCCTCTATGTTTACAGAGCTAGAGTGATAAAGTGCAATAGTGGGTCTGCACGCAGTCTGCAGCCTGGCTTCAGGCTTAGTCAAACTTTGAGGCACGCAGCAGGCTCGCAGGACTGCAAAAAGCCTCACATCTAAAGTGCCTAATGTCTAACATCTGAAAAATAAATGAACTATGAGTAAAGTAAGAAAAAGGACAAAGAGGAAGATGTCCGCAGGAGAGGAAACAGCGGAGGGTGAAGAAGACAAAACTGGAGTCCATGTACTGTGTGTGTCTAACGTCATGGTAGCACACAGACAAATTGTGCGGATATGCCAAGTCATCACATGTGAGTGTATACTTGGATAAACATCAGTTAAAACGCACACATGAACGCAGATTGAATTAACCAAACCATTTAGGCAACAATAATCTCTTTGTCTCACCACACCCTGAGCAGAAATAGCCTATAGTCTGAAAACCAGACGCACTTAAGTCTCACCTGTTGCTATGGGACTTTACATTGCTGTGTATTGTTTATAACACATCCAGCAACTAAGGGGTTATTATGTATTTTTGTACTTGTGCTGTATTGTTAGAATCATTCAGAGCTTCAGCTTAAGTGAGTCTAAACCGCAGCTGCCAAGCTGAATGAGTCTAATGAAGCAGAAAACACTAAAATTAGACAAAGGAACACGTCACCTCCCCCTTTTTTTATTTTTGATCTGTAAGCACCCTCGCAAAACGCTCTATCTTTGGACTGACTAACAGGTACCAGGCTGAGAGTTATGAGGAGTGACAAAGCATTGAGGCTCCAGCACTCATGAATGTTCTTCTGGATTGTTTACTTTGGCTGAGAAATGAGATTCGGGGCACACCTCTGCTTAATTTCAGGAGGAGCAGTGACCGTGTTCTCACAATGTCCCTTTCTTTCATCATCACTATCATGTTTTTTAAGTTCTTGTCTGTTCCTCTGTGGCTTCTTTCTGCACTTCTCTTTCTGTTCATGATTTTAACAGTTTTTACTTTAAGTCCCTTGTCTCAGACTGTAATTCTCCATGTCCTTTGTCAGAATTGTCCTCATCTTTATTTTGCCTAATACAAAGATTAAAAAGCAAGTGTATCTAACTGCCTTCACTTTAGTTGAGTATAGTCAAAGCTGACTCTTATTATTATATCTATGATCTTTGAAAGTCAAATTTAGGAGGGAGAATCCTCCTTGCTTCTCAGGACTTAGCACTAGCAAATAAGTGACATGATACCAGAGACATGATCACACTCCTGTACCAGTTATCTGTACCATTTTACCCTGGGCCAGTGCTGTGTTGTTAGGCCTGCTCAAAATCTAATGACAGACTACCTGGACATTCAATTTGCTTTGCCTGCTGCCTCATGACAGTTAGTTTACCAACCTTAAACACTAGAGAGCTTGTTAGCTTTGCTCTCCACTCAAAACCTGAAGGCATTTATTTTTGGCACAACACTTTAAACACACAGGGATTGAGTGAAACTCATCGGGCTCACAAAGCTACTGAAAATAACAAATAAAATATTAAAATAATTCCATTATTTTGCAATTATCCCTTTATATCAGAACCGATGGTTTACTTTTGAACAATATTCAGTCTGAATATAAACAAATCTCAATTTTAACAATTGATTGATAATGCTAATACTGTTTGTAGAAAATCTGTTCAAAGACATATTTGATGTTTGGTCAGGGTGTTTTAATTCTTATTATTTTTGTTTTACCTTGCACTTAATGCTGCATGAGTGACCCATTTTTTGGTGGGAATTACAATGCAATTGTGCTGTTTTTCATTTCTTGTTGTGGAAAATAAATAAATATTGAATATAGTGGAGATTAAGAAAAAAAAGCAAACCAGGTCATTCCATCTGGTAGGAATGTTTTTATTTAAGCCGACATGTTCTAAGTGGATTGTTTTGAAATGCTGTCCAGCATCACAGCACGTGCACTTTTCAGAGCATGACATGTCTAGAATTTAATGTAATGCCTGCGTTTAGAGATTTTGTGTTTTTATTTATTCATTCTCATCTCCCTTGTCATTTTGAATTTTAATTTTTCAACAGAAAGGAGCGCCAACATTTACAACCAACAGCACCTGTGACTTTAGTCCAAAAAGAAAGCATGTCGATAATTCTTCTAACAAAATGGGTCAGATTCACCTATATAAAAAACAACAACTCATTACTATGACACATTCACTGATAGAAAATTATGTTTGTTTCAGTGGGAGTCCATAAGAGAAAGAATACCTATCTTTGATTTCAACAAAGCCGAATCTATAAAGATACTGCACTCTCCTTTATTTGACTCATTTACTTTTGCAGAAGCCAATAACACTCCAATTATGATATCCTGTGTTTTCTTTTTCTGACATTTCACTTCTCTCTTCAACAGTGCGTAATATTGTATTGTACACTTTTACTCCTTTAAAAGTTTTTCTTGTGCTTTTTTATCTTTTATTTGTGTCAAATCACCTATCTTCTGATCTGAATTTAATCAGTATAAGCTGCACATATATAGTCCTTGTCATTTCTGTCCTTTCTCTTACAGTTGATCACTTTGTATATTTGACCATACCGTCTCTCTGTTTCTTTTATAGGATCTTGCTGACAGTCGTGGTCATCTTCCGTATCCTAATCGTGGCCATTGTTGGGGAGACCGTGTATGAGGACGAGCAGACCATGTTCAAATGTAACACTCTTCAGCCAGGCTGCAACCAAGCCTGCTATGACAAAGCCTTCCCAATTTCCCACATCCGCTACTGGGTTTTCCAAATCATACTGGTATGCACACCTAGCTTGTGCTTTATCACTTACTCTGTCCATCAGTCGGCCAAGCAGAGAGACCGCCGATACTCTTTTCTTTATCCCATAATGGAGAGGGACTATGGGGGAAGGGATGGGACCCGAAAGCTGCGCAACATTAATGGAATTCTAGTTCAACATGGTGGGGATGGAGGGGGAGGGAAGGAAGAACCTGACTGTTTGGAAGTGAAGGAGATCCCCAATGCTCCAAGGGGCCTCACTCATGGGAAAAGCTCCAAGATTCGCAGGCAAGAAGGAATCTCCCGTTTTTATATCATTCAGGTAGTGTTCCGTAATGCACTTGAGATTAGCTTCTTGGCAGGTCAGTACTTCCTTTACGGCTTCAGTGTGTCTGGGATTTTTGAGTGCGACCGCTACCCATGTGTCAAAGAAGTGGAGTGCTACGTGTCCCGGCCCACGGAAAAAACTGTTTTCCTGGTGTTCATGTTTGCGGTGAGTGGCATCTGTGTGGTTCTCAACCTGGCCGAGCTCAATCACCTGGGCTGGCGCAAGATCAAGGCTGCCATCAGGGGGGTCCAGGCTCGCAGGAAGTCTATCTGTGAGATCAGGAAGAAGGACATGGCACATCTCTCCCAGCCGCCAAATCTGGGGCGCACTCAATCAAGCGAATCCGCCTACGTTTGATGATGATGGTGAAGAAAGTAACAAAAAGAGGTGTGGGATGAATGTGAAAGAAAGAGACATATTAGACATATATAGAAATATTTTCGGATTTTAATTGGAGGTTAAAAAAAAGGACATATCCTTTGTGAGATTGGAATGAAACAGAATGTAAAAAGACCAAAACTCTTGCTTTTGGAATCAATAGTGTGCAGAAGAAGAGGCACATGACAAAACTTAAACAGGGACAAAAAAATGTTTAGTTTGGTTCTGCGAAGTTAGCTCGATTACCACAGTGATCTCATGGAAAAAAATCCTGCCATTTTATACTTTTGTCTTTTTAAAAAAAAACTGATTACCTTTTCCGCTCCTTGAAATGCAAAGAATCATGTCTTCAAGGGGATGGAGAGGGAAAACTAAAGAGCAAAGGAAGAGAGAGGAGAATGTAGGAGAGGCTGCTTTGTGTTCTCTCGGATATTGGAAGGCAACTGTGGTGTCTGATGCATCCCATGTTTCTCTTCTTCTGGACTGTATCAACTTAAGTAAAAAAAAACAGAAGGAAGGAGGGGCAGGATGGAAGCTGGGATAAGTAGGATGAGCAGCAACATCATTAAAAGAGGAACGGAAGAGCTGTCAGAGCTGTGACAGACTTCAGAGGACAAAGGCCTGCTTGGGAGCCGGGGGAACGTAAAGTGTAAAACTGTAAGACAATATATGAAACAAGAGGGTAAGAGAGGAAATTGTTTTCTATTCCTCCCTCTCTTTGCTGGAGATTTCAAACTAAGTTGAAGCAAAGAGAGAAAGAACTGTCTCTGAACATTGTCTCTGGCCTCTGCTGGAACATCGACACAAGCCAAACGAAGAGAAAAGACTGATGATGTTTATGCTTTGTCTCTTGGCAAAAGATGATTTCAACACAAACACAGAGAGTAGCTACCATAAACACTGTTTCCCCTTCTCCTTTATCTCCTGCTCTCTCAGTTCCATGGTTGGCAGCTGTATAGGCGAGAAGTACGGTATCTTCGAATGATGGTAATGACCCCTTGCTGCTCTCCTGCTGGATAAACCTTGGAGAAGACTTGGTGAACAAAACGACAGGAGGCATCTTTGCATAGGTTTCTCCAAAAGCACAAACCAAACTCCCGTCTTTCAAGCTTCTTTGGTGTGCTAAGAAACAAATGAGAAAGACGAAAGCGCAGGAAAGCACAAACACGTGAAGAAGGAGGAGCTAATCACTTTAATATAACAGATTTTATAAAATACATCACTATGAATTATGATTTCTATTTCTTTTTTTTTGTTGAGAAAGCGATGGTGCCATCCTTGAGATATTTAAATATTATTAAACAGTTACATAGAATATATCATGGTAATATTATTTATCCATTTAGAGTATATCCAAATAGATCTATTTATCTTCTGGGTATGGGTTGGTCCGGAAATCATGTTACTGTTTTTTCTAATATGTGTAAACTGTCTGTCTTTTCTTTTTTTCATTTTTGTTTAGTGCAAAGTGTTTTTCACTGTCGGAACAGACTAATGAGATCTAAAGGAGGGGGAAAAGGACAAGTTTGCAAGTGTTTTTATAAAATGCTCTGAAGATGTGATGCTGAAGTAAAAATGAATGAACCACATTTCAAATGCAGACCAATGTAGCTTGTACACAACATCTGCAAGGTAAATGCTTCCTGCACGTAGCATTGGTTTTGGGCAAAATCAGCCACGCATCTTCAGGCACTCGAGGCTTGTGAGCCATTCGATTAAGGCATGTTTACAAAACACAATGTTTCTTGAATGATCAAGCTGCGTTACTGAGACTTAGTCACTCTCTAGGGACAGTTGTGTTTTCGAATCTCAGTGGCTTTTTATTTTGCATTTCTTTCCTGACTGGATTACAGCATGCATGTGTTGCAAGAAAAAAAAAGGCAAGGTAATGACATGAAAGAAACCGATAAATATGACAGAGTGGTGCACCTTGATTAATGCAGATGAGTGGAAGAGTTGCAGACTGTTGGAACTCATGTTGGGAATATGGCTGTGCCCCCGGACAACCATCAGTATGCACAAATGCAAAAGTTCAAATGTGGAGAGGACATATTGTGAGATATACAGTGAAAAGACAGTTTGGTAGCCCACATGAAAACACCTTAAAAACGAATATGTGCTCACACAGAGATAAATCTAACCGGTGCATCAGTCACTCTGCATGGAAGAGGCTCAGGTGCATGTGATATGCAGACATGACCATAACACAATCCCACCTATAGCTCATTATTTATAAAGTTAGTCCTCTAGTACACAAGGTACTAGGCATCTGCATCTTGAACAGTGAGGAAATTTAATGACCTGCAAATCTCACATAAGGAGGCTGAGGGAATGAGCTATTGTTGTTCCTCACAGTTTTCCCCCCGTCTTAAATCATTGTTATGTAGGGTTTAGAACTCAAAACCACTCGGTTATGTTTAGGAAAATATGGCGGTTCGGGTTACCCTAATGTACCTTCAATATTTGATGTACTAGATGACAAATTTCTCCAATTTGGAAGAATCCTCTCATCCTCAAATCTGAAATTCTTAGATTTTACCCAAACACTTGATCGGTATGAAAGGCCAGCTGCATAATGTATGGTCTATTTGAGACAGCTGTTCCTGGGAAACAATCATAATTCACAATTAGCTGTCAGATTCAGTGAGAAATGTTTTTTCTTCATGCAACCAGATGTTGTACTACCTACATTTAAAGTGCATGTTTACCTGTAAATAGAAAATTTAGCAGATGTAAATTGGATCAGTTCTTTTTTATATTTTACCTGGGCATAACACAGGACTGAGTACACTATGAACACAATGCAACCCTAAGGACAGTTAGTTTCTACTTGTATTTATATTTTCTTTATTCACTCATGCTCACAATCTTTTGCATTCTTACCAGTGATTATCTCCATATTTAGTCTCCACAGTGGACATTTATGTGGCTTAAAGGGATGGACACGGTCATGTACATGCAATAAGAAGGACAACCTCACTGTCAGGGCAATGCCAGAACGCCTAATAATAGAGGCAGTGTCACCCGTTACTTATTGTGCTTGTTGTGAAAGCTTAAAGTGATGACCTTGAGCTTAAAAGCCAAGCCAGTGCCCTATGCTATATGCAGCTACTGCTTCGTAGTACATTGTTGATCTAATCTCCACAGAGTACCGGATTGAGAACCATTTTGCTGAATGGCACATATGCACTTCCTCAATGTGAAGTTACTCGGAAAAAAATAGCAGAGAAATCTGAACGTAGCAGCCGGCAGTTTAAGTTTGTGCTCTTGGAGTCTGTGATTATGTCTGGTTTCATTCAGATCAGACACACAAACACATGCATGGTGTGAAGACACAGAGGGCCATAAACGTGTCCTATTTTTCACCAGTATACATTTATCCAGTTTTCATTAGTGACTCCAGCCTCTGTGGTGACGTGTCATTGAGTCAACCGCTTCCACGGCCAAAACAAGCCCCAGATCTTCTAACAGTCCACGACTCTTCATGTCTGCTTTTTTTGTATTTGTCAAATGTGAAATGAGTTATGCAAGCTTTTATTCCAATTTTCTTTACTTTTTGACTTGTGAATTCATTTTGTTGTCTGTTGCTCTTTTTGTGCAGTGACATATTGGAAAAAAAGAAAGATGTTTTTTATGTAATGGAACAAATTTTCTAAATGTGTAAAATCAAGGGTAGAGTGTTGAAATATAAGAATAGAAGAAAATATGTTATATTTCCTCCCTTGCCAAAGTGATATGCAAAGATTAATTCATTTTCAAAGATTTTTTTTAACTGCATGTGTAATGGCTATTATGAGCATGTTTGTATGTTGTCTTCAAAAGAACTTTTAAAGAAATACTTTTCTAGTCCAAATTATGAAGTGAAGCTACTACTTCTTGATGCCAAGCGTGTATGATAACCCACTTTTTCTCACCATACAAAGCTAGGCAGCCTGTACTAACGCTACCTAGTAAAACTACCTGTACCAATTTATCTATTTCAAATTCCAAAAGATTTTGATAACATCTAACAGCAAAGAAATTTGCACACAAATGTAAATCTTTAAAACAGATGTTAGATGAATATTTTGAATAGATTATTCTCCATTTTAATGATCCACTGTAAAACACAGGGTAAACAGGATACATCTAAAAACTGGCACTATCAAATGTCAGACCCCAGAACATTCCAGGGTTCAGCTTCTAGCACAATGTGCATTTTAAACTACAATTCAGCGTGAAATAATTGAATTCTCAGAGAATCACCGTAAGGTCAAGTATTTCAATCGCAGGGCACAGACAGCAGACTCAGGAAAGAAAACGAGCTGATCTGTAATGTCAGTTTTTACTTGTTAAAACGCTGTTTGTTCTTGAAACTTTTATAGAAGCAGCATGTCTGCAGAATTTCCACTTGCCATCAAACTTTGTACTGTTAAACCCACCTAGAAAAATTGTCCACAAGAAAGGTAATTTGCTCTTGTGGTTTGGAATCTTTACCAAAAACAGGTATTCAGATACATTCCCTTCAGCACAGCAAACTACTGCCCACACACCAGAGGTGATGTAGCAATGCATGTCTCCTTAAAAATCAAGCTTTTTTACTCTTGACTGTTACTAACCAGTGGGCATGGATTTTATTGCCCTGCAGCAGGCATTGTAACAAGAAAAAGATATATCAAATTGTCCATTTATTTTTTACTGCAGAACTGTAACAAACAATTTGATCCCTCAGGAATACAGCAAGTCATGAGCTGTTCCATTCATTAACACAGAGCTTACTTCTGCTACTATGTTACTCTTTAATCTGCTGCCAGAAGGACCTTAGATTAACTTAGTAATCACATTATGTCACCCATCAAAAGGGCTAGTTAAAGGCCTGAGAGCAAGTTTTCAAAACCGCCCGTCTTAAGTGTTCAAGGGCTTTTTACTTATTGTAAACTAAAAAGCCATTTTCTGAAAAAATGAAGAGGAAGAATTCACACTTGATTTAGCACATGGAA